CCATCTTCATGAATATACTTAAAATGAAGGTACCCTCTTTAATATTGCATTGCGTATATGTTTTAGCAATATTTACATTACTAGTGCCATGTGGAAGAACTTTGGTCTGAATTGAACTTTGATGAAATAAATTTCGGACTGTTAATGTATTTATAGAACTAGTCACGTCTTTCATTTTTGTATCAGCAGAAAGAGCAGTATTTTCGTACTCAGACCACTCATCCGTGTCAACATCTCTTTTTACTTCTTCTTATAATGAATTTATTATTTCTTGGTCTTTAAAAAGAAATTGATTTTCACTACGCTCTACAGTATTTGAATTATCATCAGGAACTACGACATTAACATAATTTGAATCATTATCAATTTGCTTGTCTTCTAAAGTGATTTTTGAATCTTCGCTAGGTAAATCAAATAGACCATCATCGACCAAATCTGGCCTACTAATTGAATATTATAGTTTCGTCATCAAACAAAGTTCTAGCTTTCGAAGAATTTCTGATCAACAGGTATTTGTTTACTTTTTAAAAATTTTTTACTGGTATTATCTAATCCGAAAAAAAATTTTGCACACTTCTGCAGCAAAGAATCATTAATAGATAAATTTAAAAAATAATCAAAACGTTTTTTTGGTTAATGATTAACGTTTAACCAAATATATTTATACCAAATATATTTTTACTTTCTCTCATGGCGATTTAGTAATTTTTATGGTGCTTACCATTATTACAGAATGTTATGGTATAAATACTTCAAGATTATTGCATAATATTATATCATTTATTTGCATAAAATCCAACTCAATAAGTCATTAAGAGAAACCAGCATTTTTTCTGATTCTAAACAGCAGGTTTTACGTGGCTCCATGCTGAAACTCTTTGCATAAGTTGTGAATAATAAATAAAACTACAATTCCATCTGGAACATTAGTTTATCAGACACAAACTAATATGCTTATGTCTGTATTTTTAAAAACACGTCTTTAAATGCGTAATTCAATAGAATTCCTTAGACAATCCCAAAGTGGCCACTTCCCCACGTTGTTTTCCCAGGGAACGTAAATATTCTACGTTTCGAATCTTGGGTATGGCCAGACGCTTAATATTTTGACGAAGCACTTCTTTCTTCAGTTCTAATAAACTGAAAAAAAACAGACGTGAGTGTGTGCTTCCCTCGTTAATTCGGCTGAAATTGTTAAAGAAGCCACTTTCCCACGTTCTCGCAGGTAACGTAAATATTCTGCCGTTCTTCTGCACCATTTTTTTTGGAGTACTCCACTTGGTATAAATGTATACCTACTCTGAAAAGTCACAACTTACACACAGAGAAATATTGTTTAACAGTGAGTAAAATACTCTCGAGTTAAATAATTCTTAATCTTCGATATACGCAAGTAAAAATATTCTCCATTCAATATAAATACTTCTATTGAGTTTTAAATCAAGTAAATAGGTACAACATTAAAAGTAAATAACGTTTATTATCTACTAATTCTTGAAATAAAGAATAATAATTTCTTCTGAAATATGGAACTTTGGGAAGAAGGAATTGTTTTCTTGAAATAAAAACTTACGCATTCAATTCAAGAAACTGATTTCTTAATTATTTGAAGCTAACAATTCTAAGGTTTCATTGAAATAAATATTTTTTTGATTGAAGAAATTGAAAGAAAACAAATTAATTTTTTATAAATTTAATTTTTTATTTTTATTACAACAACACTATTTATTCCAACTTTAAATCTAACTTATCTGCTGCTATACTTAATAATTTTTCAATTGTGCAAAGTTTTTTTTCTTACTTGGTCCCTTAACTTCTTTATAGTAATGTAGTATATAGTAAAGTAAAAAGGACTTTTTAGCCCGTCACAGAATTGGGAAAAATAATTCAAAACGTAGATTTCATGACTATTCAATTGAACAATCGAACTGCTTTGGGCTGAAAATCTTTACAAAAATTAAATAGGGTTTTTTAGCCCTTCACATCCATTCCCTTCTTTACTGAAAAACATGGTTTTTAATAACCCATGGCTTTTCTAAACAAAAACCTATAAACTTTTTGACTTGTTTGAATTTCGTCTAATTTTCGCTTATATTCATCTTCTTTTTTCAACAGGTTGTTGATGACTTTCTGCGCACAAACTCGAGTCTTGCAAATAACGTTTATACGATTTTCAAAACTTCCCTACAACCTACACACCTCTTCCTCAACCGTGTATGGGTATGCAGCTGCAGTTTTTTGAATCATTTGCTCAAGTTTCTCATATTCAGATAATGAAGCCTCTTCTTCTACTTCTCGTATGAGCGATATAACTGTTTTCCCTCCCCCTTTCCTCGTCTTTTACTCCTGTTCGACGGTGGTAAAGGCATCAGACGAGTCCTCTTCCAAATGCATCTTAAACTGCTTTTCGATGTCGTTAAAATCAATCTAAAAGTAATTAAATTTATTATAAGTAAAAAAATTGTTTTTTTATTACAGACTACAAATTAAAATTTCAATGGTGTCTTCTGAGAAGATTTCCCTCAGCATGCCTTTGACATTATCCCAAGTTAGGAGGTCAAGGCCGATGTGGGGCATCGCCAATGCATTAATGCGATAAAATTTCATGTGTTTTCGCATTGATATGATAGAATCATACAGTGTATGCTTCATTTGTTTCGTGTTTATCTAATTGCAACGAATTTCGTAAATCATTTATATTTTCAACATTTTGTACCGGTTTTACGTATTTGCCGATAAACGAAAAAAAAGCAAATGAATTCTTCTTACATGAAGCAGGTTAATAAATACTCACCCATATTTAACACCGTTTTAAGAGTTTCCAACGTTTTAAAAAAAATACCCTTGTGGAACAATTATTTCTTCTGATTCAAACATCTTTTTTTTTAAGATTCCATTGAAAAACTAAATGTCGGTTTTACTTGTGGTTTGTGTATTTTTAGCAAGGGAACATAGCCGTGGAGCGGCTTTACTCCAATAGATAATAACTTGCTACCCGATTTAGTAATCGGGTTTACCAATTTATGAATTAAACGAAACTTCTCGCTGGTTAACTAGCTAGCCATCAGTGTTAAATCTGAAATGGTATGTAAACAATATTTTTTCTCATAGTACAGAACTTTTAAGACTTTGTTTAGCACTTCTGCCTGCACATAGCTTTGTATGCGACAAAGAAGTGTTTTTTCTTTAGCTCCCTCTAAAGGTAACATCGTCTTTATGTCTGAAAGAAATTCCTCGAACTGTTTGATATTAAACTAATTCTTGATGTGGTTAATCAGTAACTCATTAAATTTGGTGTGCGTAACAGAATATTAAAATGTTTATTCGCTCATTTTAGTTTAGTTTCTTCTCTTATTATTATGTAATTAAAAAGATACCCAACAAAGTAATTTATAAATTAAGAAAGCACAAATACCACTGTTCAAAAATTATCACTTATTTCAAAACACTGCGGTGGAAAAGGGCGACTAGCAAACTGCAAAGAGTCAAATTGTGAACAATATATAAATACCTACCACCACCGTAAAATTTAACAAAACCCACCACTAAGCCTTGCTTTTCAAAATTTTCTAGAACTCGGTAGGTGCAAGCACCTGGTTCATCCGAGCATAATGACTAATGCTTATGGAAGATTTAGTCATTTTCTAATTTCTAAACCTCAATCTAGATTCTTGTGAATTTTAAATTTCAGTTTCAGGTATTCGATCTTCAAGTTATGAAATATAAATTATATGAAATAACATAACATTATATGAACTACTACTATAACATAGTAGTAATTCTCGTTCGGTGTCTGTCCATGAATCTTTCTATTCACGACAAAAGAAAATTCGTCGGCCGCTCTGTCAAACATTATTTATGTAATCTGCGACCACTTTGTCTACATGTTAAACCACTCTTCAACTGCAACAACATTAAGTTTTTCTCTTAAGTTGCTGAATATTATTTAATGTCGCCACCCTATTTTTCACCAGTGCCCAAATTTTTTCAAACGGATGGGTGAAAAATTATAAAAAGAGACAAATCTACACGATCTAGTTTTTCAAAATGTGTCTTAGGCTTTAGAATTTAAGTTAGTTCATGGTTGTTATAGCTGATAAAGGCTTGCGTGTATACAAAATATTCATTTATTTATTTCCAAAATTTTACAAGTTATTATATCTCTCCTCTTGTTTTCTTCTCCTTTCTTCTTATTCTATTCTTTTCTTCCTTTTTAAATACTCTAAATAGCTGACTTCATTATAATGATTCCAACTCGTGTCTTCTTTTTTTAACAGTTGTGCTTTTTCTTCTCGTTGACTTGCATTTTGTCTCACTCATACGCATAGCAACAACAAAGACAAAACTAGTAGCACATTTTTGAGATTTTTTGAAATACATCCTCCCCAACCTATAAATAAAAAAAAATTGTTCACTAATAAATTTTTAACTTATCGAAACTCATTAAATTAAGGGTGCAAAAAAATTCTGAAGCCGTGTCTGAATCTGTCTCATGTTTTTTAATTTGTCGATTCGGAAGCGCATTAATAATAGCACAAAACGACATTAAATATGCTGCAAATAATAAAAATATGTAAAAGTTTATAAAGATAAAAATATGCTTATGGTCTTCCACAACAAAATTTATAGGATTTTTTTTCAATTTTGGAATTAATTCTTCCAAACTGTCTGTGGAAATATCTTATTGTACAAAACAATCACCTATATTATGCACATAGGCTGTTTCAAAATTAGTAAACAAATTTTAAATAAACATTATTTTGTTTTTATTTTCTTACTATAAAACATAATCTTTACATACAAACAGCCTTTTAAAAAATATATACATACCATGCTTCCTTCAAAATCAACTAAACGTGGAAAACGATTTGTGATCTCTGCAACTGAGATCCCAGAGAAAACTAAGCCTCGGCGAATGAAGTTGTTTTGTTCATTGAATCTTGTATTTCCTTAAAATGTTCTTCATTGGACAACAAGTTACGCAGCTGATTTTCCTTGAAAAGGTACATAGATATTTTTCTATAACAATGAGTCCTGGCGTCTTCGTAAAACAAAAAAAAAAAGGGAAAACCTTTTGTGATCCAAGAGATGAGTGGAGGAGTAATTTTTTTTTTGAAAACCAGATAACGTATTTTTGTAAAATACTAGTAGTGGGTGGATGAAAGGTGTTATCGGTTCTTAATTAAAACCGTGGAAAAAAACAGTTAAAATTAAACATGTAAGTTTATTACAAAAAAAATATTTTTTTAAAAATCTAAACAAAAAAAAATATTTTTTTATGAAAGCCAAACATCGTCACAGAGGGGTAATCGTACCCGATGGCGAGCGACCCATTAATTATTTGGAATACGTCGTATAGAGTCCAGGGGGTCCTGGGGTAGCTGGTCCTGTTTGTGGAGCACGATTTGCTCCACCTCCAAGAGCAGGTCCTGGGGCAGACTGTCTAATGTCAGGTCTACCTCGAGGTCCGTTAGGACCCCGTGAATGATAATTTGGTTTACGGGAAAATCACCCCAATAACCAGCCGGGAAGTCTGTAACAAAAAGGAAAATAAAAATGTGTAATGGGCAAATTTGCTTATGAAAATTGAGGTGAATTAAAAATCAAACCAAAGTAAATAGGTCACAGGAGTCCTTATTGACAACCTAGCATGTCGTTTCAAAAATGAGGTGAACCAGTCTTATTTTCAGCCTGCCATCTTATTTTCAGCCCAATTTTCAGGAAATTTAACTTTCAAGACAGTACTCAAACGCTCTGATCTCTCTAGGCGACAATCCGTTATAAATATCCGCTGCTTGCAAGATGTATTCCTCGAGAAGTTTTTCTTGTTCGTCTGTGAAAACGTAAAACTACAAAAACTTCTTTAAACATATCTATTGGAAACTGAAAAACAAGTTTTTTTTGCATATTTTATGAAGCACTTACTTGACGGACTCTTGTACCCAATTTCCGTTTTTAGGTTTTCTGCCTGTCCTTGTATCTCTTCATCGGTAACGTTCCTACAGAATCTTCTTAAAGAAGCCTCTGGAATATCAAAATCTTTGGCAGTTCCTCGAATAGATTTTTGGTTTAATTTAACCTCTCTAGCTGCNTGTCTAAGTTGTAATTAAAAATAGATATTTTGGTTTTTATCGTTTTTATTTTTTTCTTATGTTGATTGTTTTGGAGACATGCAAGATGCGTCAACGTACCCCGACTCAGGGGTCAGTTGACGCACACCTGGGGTAAATTGACGCAGTAAGGAAAAGTGATTTAAAATGGTTTTAAATGAGTATAGTTTTATTGAAAATAGACTTAAAACCTGGTTTTTAAGGTAATTGTATTGACACTAATGCAAATTAGTAGTAAACATAGGTAAGTATAGGTAATAATACGCTAATAGGTCGTTATGCCTGTTTCGTCTATGTTGTAGATATCTGCAGGTCCAAATTTTAATCTGTTCAAAACGATTTGCAAATTTTCGAAGAATTTCGCAACATTATTTTTGTTAAAAGCAGTAGCCCGAGCTAAACTGGTAGCTTCAGGAGTCCTTATTGACAACCTAGCATGTCGTTTCAAAAATGAGGTGAACCAGTCTTCACCTGCCATCTTATTTTCAGCCCAATTTTCTGGAAATTTAACTTTCAAGACAGTAGCATACTCAAAAGCAAACGCTCTGATCTCCCTAGGCGACAATCCGTAATAAATATCCGCTGCTTGCAAGATGTATTCCTCGAGAAGTTTTTTTTGTTCGTTTGTAAAAACCTAAAACAACAAAAACTTCTTTAAACATATCTATTGAAAACTGAAAAACACGTTTTTTTGCATATTTTATGAAGCACTTACTTGACGGACTCTTTTGTACCCAATTTCCGTTTTTGGGTTTTCTGCCTGTCCTTGTATCTCTTCATCGGTAACTTTCCTACAGAATCTTCTTAAAGAAGCCTCTGGAATATCAAAATCTTTGGCAGTTCCTCGAATAGATTTTTGGTTTAATTTAACCTCTCTAGCTGCCCTTAGCATTATGTGTGGCGGGGTGGCTGCTCTTTGCGAGGTTCTTTTGTAGTTCCTCATTGTGCTATAACTAAAAAGTGTTTTAATTATTTACACAACAAAATTTAAAAATATTACATATAAGACGCACACTCCACCCATTTGTTAGGTTAGGTTTAATTTTTAATAATTATTTAATAATTGTGCCTTAAAACTGAATGTTTAGAGATTCAAATATTATATTTAACGATAATGTCGCATTTTTACTTCAACGCATATAACAAATAAACCAGACTGATATAAATTTACTTATGTGTATATATAACACTCGACATAAAATAAACACGACAGCACACGGCACTGATGCTTCACACAAACTAGAAACACTGATTATGGCCAGATGCTTAATGTTTTGTCGCATTAATTCTTTCTTCAATTCTAATAAAGTGAAGAAGAGACATAAGTGTGGGCTTCCCCCATGACACCCTTTTTGTAACTAAATAAAAAACGGTTAATTTGTCCGAGAGTGTCAAAGAAGCCACTTTGTTTGCCTAGGGAACGTAAATACTCTACGTTCCCAAAGCGTTTTCTGAAACAAAAAAATATTAGATACTGCAACACAATTTAGTAAATAAATTCATACTTGAACTCTAGAGCAATCCCCTTGCCCATTTGAAAATTTTCTGCAACACAGTGGGCTAGACTATATTCCCGGTCCACCGTGAAAAATCCTGCTCTTTTTCTATTATGTTTGGGATATTTTTTAGAGATTCTGTGGCGAGTGCGGTAAATGCTTCCCACATAACGTACTTGTTCTAAATCACATTGACTTGAAATTATCAACTTTAGATACAACAAACTACTTTGACTTTCTTAAAAGTTCGGAAAAACGTCTTAAAATATAGTTTTTAAAAATGATCATTTTTAGTAAAACTTTCTCTACCTTTATTACAATTTGTAGGTAACTATAACCTATCGCAATTCTAAAAAAGTCAAAATGTAGAAAAAAAATTGTTATAAATTTTATGGTTTTGGGTTTGAAGAAGAAACAACAGGAACTCCTTTTGTACTTCTTTATTCTTTCAGGCTATCTTACAGACTATACTATTCCACATTTGCACAAAATTCACCCTCACACATTCAAATGAGCCAATTAGCTCCAAGCATTCTTCTAACGTTCAAATCTTTACACATATCATTACTATTTTAGCCACCTACTAAATATTACTTCCCACGCTAGCCAAATATCTTGCATCCTTGACCCACACATGTTCCTTAATCCCTTACATCCTGAGGACCCCTCAAAAAGGCGACTCTCTGTCGTCACATGCAGACCACCCATACCCTTACAATTACAAATAACTATATTAATATTCTCTTTTATATGTATGGGATGTCGTGGAATCGCACCAAGTGTACCACATTCTTTACGTAAGAAAATATTCCTTTTGTTGAGGTTTTGAAATGAAGTTGTGGAATTTAGTTGGAAAAATTTTTATTTGTAGCAGCGTACGACTATGTTTTACAAACTATTCAAACAGACTGATCTTAAAAACTAAATACTGATTCAATCGCTGATTCACACAACCTTAACCTCCCTAGGACTATAAAAATCAAACAAACAATAAAAACTATAAAACTATAAAAATTATTGTTATTTTTCTTTTCTTAATTAGTTGCCGAAACCAATCTAATTATTCGCAACATCTTTAATTTTGTATTCAAAATTCGGGCGAAATTTATTGAAGAAGTGACTGACGAAGCTCTTTTTTCGTCAATGTTACTGCCTATGTGTTGTGCATTTTTATAATAAGTTCTGAATCATCATTAATTTTTTTAGATGACAGTTTGAGAAAGAAATCCTTCAGGACCATTCCTCAAAGGATGCAGCTTCAGTGTGGCGGCGTTGTGGACATAAAAATTTTTACTAATGCTTCAGCATTATTTTTCTAGGTAAATATTAAAACAGATTTGATATTAATATGAGGTTGCCCTTTTCAGCTTCATTTAAGAAAGCACCTTGTACAAAGTGAATGTTCTCTCATTTTAGATTTTAATTAAAAAAATAACCGGCCGGTTATTGGGGGGACTTCCTAATAAATCGACTGATCGTCCACGGGGTCCTAACGGACTTAAAATTTTGTTGTTCTTTATCTTTAAATCTCCTTGTTCAATTGACTATTGTTTTTGTTTTGAATATCTGGACCGATTACACTTTAATCGTATTTTATGTTTAATTTTTTGTTTTGTTTTTGTTAAATAAAATATTTTTCTACCGTTTACTACTGTTATTTTCAAGAAAAAAATCTAAAATATGTGTAGTTTTGCCAAATCAGCAAACCAAATAAATTGTTCGAATTTGAAGTTGGTGGTCTTGGAACCATTGCTGGACAATTCTTGCGGTGTGAATGCTGCTATTGTCTTGCACAAAAATCGGCGGTTCATCCCGAAACAAATTTTCAGTTTTGGGGAGAAGATGGTTTTCATTCCGAGGAGGCATGAGCCTAACTATAGCACCTGGTCCTGCTGAATGTATCTATCCCCAAAATCCTGCACAAATCCTTCCACTCCGCTTCACTGGATCACATTATCTTTATATCTTTCGTTGTTTCTTCGCCATAAAATAACTGGTGCATCTTGCGAGGTTTGAAACGTTGTTTCGTTCCAGTTAAAATTTAGATGTTTCCTGCAAAACTGAAGTCGAGATGCAGCATGTTCAGGGCTTATGAGAATTTTTTAGCAGGTCGTCTCGCATGTATCCCCATAGAATGCAAAAAGATTTGTATACTTTTTTTAATAGTCAAGTTAAAATAATAATAACAATAAAATAGATTTATTGAAATGCACAAGGAATAAAAAAAATACAGCAAGTGCTGAAAGTGACCACCATTTTCCAAACATTTTTTTCACCTTGTTTGGTCAACTGCCCACTCTGGTAGAAAGACTGAATATTTTTTAGTTTTGTTGTTTTATTAAAGAAGTTTATAAATTTGTTTATTTATTTTTTATTATCAATATATTTAATTGTTATAAAGTCCTCTGAGAGAAAAGACACATTGTAAAGATCAAATTTTAATGATGAAAGTAACAGTGTTTTAATTTTGGTTTTGTTTTAACTAAATTAAGAAATGTTTGCACTAGATTTTAAAGAAATGATCATTTATTTACTCAAATACATATAAAAATGCAATAGTGGCATTCAGTTGTAAAAAAGCCTTCTTTCAAGTTTAAAAATTATACTAAACACGGGGTGCGTCAGAACTCGCTCCCCAGAGAAAATTTTCAAGTAAGGTAACTCGCTCCCCAGAGAAAATTTTCAAGTAAGGTAAGTACAGTTGGAGACAAAATACTTTGGTCGTCAATGTCACTTGAGTGACATTAAATTGTAAAGCATGCTTTAGGACTGCTAACCTTATTTTTAGCTACTGTCAATCATAGTTAACAAGTTTTTGGTAGGAAAATATAATAGCTGTCATTAATTTAAAATTGTCATTCATTTTAACGTTAAAGTGTCAGAAAAGTGACGACCAAAGTATTTTGTCTCCAACTGTACCAGGAACATGAAAAAAATGTTTACAAAACTGATATGTCAAAAAATTTTGACATTTATTTTATATCTATTTACTGATACTGATGATCTTGTATATGTTTTTTTTTTACAATTATTACATTTATTCTCGCCTAATACCACAAATGGACATCACAGGATTTCAACTCAAGGTGGAAGGTTCGCAGTTCCTGTTGATTTACTTCCACCGGATTTTGGTAAATTTTTATCTCGTAAAAATAAATGTAATTGTTTATGTTGCAGACTCCACGGCTCCAGGCGTTGTGTGTAAAGAAAATTATGTTTTAGTTAAAGATCTGAGTGTAATAAATAAACCTGCAATTGATGAATATCAACAGCAGTTATCTTATAATCCCAATTTTAAATAACTCATTAAAATCTTAATTAACCCCTATTTATTATGTCTATAACAAGGTAAAGATGTTATTAACTAATTTTATAAATATATGTAAATGTATCAAGAAAACATTATGTAATAAATAAATAAGTAAATAAATAAATAAATACCTATTTTTTTATGTATTTTAATGACAACTAATATGTTAAAAATTAACCGTAGTTATCAAAGCACACAAAAAATATTATTTTACAAAAGATACAAGCAGGTAGTCTGTTTTTTATTAAATGGAAATGTCAAACAGTCGTCGTTAGCACCCCAAACAAATTCATTCATGGTAATTTTAATAAAGAAAGTTGGCAGTTACGGTTTTTGATTTAATTAAAAAAAGTCATTAAACGTCAACAAAAAAAAATAGAAATGCAAACACAAAAAACGGGGACAAATTGGGTACCGCAAACAGTTTTTGTAAATTTGAAGACAAAAAGTGTGCACGCAGAAGTCAGAAAGAGACCACCACTAAAATTAAAAACAATAGCATAGTAAAGTGTAATTTTGACAGATGAGGGAAGTAAAATTTTTACCTTTCTGGGAGGTAATTGGCCCCTTTCCTTTTGAAATTAGGGTGAAAATTTAATTTTTTGTTAGGGTCATAGGAAAAAATTGTTACTGGGTAATCTATAAAACGTTTTTAGTAGCCGATTTTTGGTACGAATTAAGATTTAACATTTTATAAATTTTATTGTCTCGATAAGGTAGCGCTGTGCTGATTGGTGTTTCCACTCCAACAATGAAACATGAAACGGTAAATTACATTAGACAAATGTCTAATCGTAGTAAAAAACACTATTATATTAAGAAAATGACCAGTGACGAAATGTCATGCACTGACGCGTCAAAATTGAAAAGTATTTGCTTGCAATTATCAAAACCTGCTTCCTGTTGGCTTTATAAGTGCCCAAGACAAAGTTTCTTATAAGACAACCTGCATATAACAACGGTGAACATTCAGAACTTGTCGATCGAAGAGACAGTTTCAGTGGAAAAGTAGAAACTGTGTTGTGACTTCATGTAGTTGATTCTTTAAAATGAAAAATTTAAACATCGTCTTTGTGAGTACATTATTCTTTATTCAGTAGCAAAATTATTAATTTTACATAATTAAATACACTGTACCCAAGAACGCAAATCAATGACCTCACAGTTTTTTGATTACAAATTAGTTAAATCTTCAACTTTGTGTTGGTAAAATACCAGTTTTGAAGCCTGTTTTCCATCAAAACAATTTAAACGAGATAATAAATTTAAAAACCTACTAGAATTATAACGTAAGTTAACTATTATTCCTTCTAATTTCTTAAAATTAGGTGCTGAATGTTGTAACAGAACACGATTATGAACCTTGAAGGTTTAATAAATATTTTGCGTAATACATATTTTTTAGTTTTTGGTTCAGTGAATATTGTTTATGACTGTTCCATTGTTATGCATAATTTAGAAAATGTGAAATAAATAGTATCTAACAAAATTTACGTTTTACTCATACATGAGAATTTGGTTATCATCAAGTTATCAAGCAAATTTTCTAAATTCTTTTTTTGCTATTTATTTAAATATTGTTAAACCTTCAGTGCCATATGTTTTGTTATTGACTTTTTCATAATTACTGGAATTTTTTAGTCATTTAACTTCAATGATAATGTTATTATTTCATTTCTAACGGGACTGTGTCGTCAAATTAGCAACAAATTTGAAAACCTTGGCAAACAAATTTTATATACAATTCAGTGCTTCCAAGAGATTTTTTGTCCCAATGATTAACAATGATTATTTGAATTGGAAACGATAGGAGAAAATCAACACAATGACTGACTTCTAGAGGATTTTTCATAATTACCAAAATAGAGAAAAAAGTGTCAATTTATTCTTATAATCTGTCAAAAACGTCAAACTTTTTATCGATCTTCTGGTTTTGATTTTTGATCTTATTGGATTACTTGCAACACTGCTACCAGATTTAGGTTTTCTTGCTAGTTTCTATTAAAATTTGAAAGGTCAGCCTGTCAACAAACGGAAGTTACTCCAGTTGTACAATTAAATAAAATTCAGTGTTGCCAACTGAAACAGTCATTTCTGACCATGCAAACTTGCTATTTTTTTCAGGTGGTAAATATTGTAAGACTTCTGATTTTTATCAATCCGACAAAATGTGTTTTAAACGAGCAACAGCTTAAAAATTTGTTAGCTAATGAATATGAAAAGGCCGCATCAGCGATTTGCACAAAAGTGAATGAAGCTGAATGGAATTACGAAACTGACATAAATAATCATGAAAAGGAACAAATTGTGGTAAGTAGAAATTTTTTTTGGAAATTTTGGTTTAAACTTTTTGTTAGCTCAATGCAACATTACAATCAGCGGGTTTGCTTAAAAAATACTGGAATACATATTTCAAAGACCTCAAGCCTGAAGATTTCCATGATCCCCAAATCAAAAGACAAGTTAAAGACTTAAAACTTCTGGGTGACAGTGCACTCGATGAAAAAAAATTGACAGAAGTAAAATTGAATTATTATATAATTTAATAATAAATTATTTTACTACTAATTTTTAGTTTACTAAAACTGTCAATGCAATGACGAATATTTACAGTACGGCAAAAATTTGCCCATATAAGGACCAACAATGCGATTTGACCAAATCTGGATTGTCGTTAGAACCAGGAATTGAAGCTGTTATGACAAAATCTACCGATTATGACGAATTATTGTACGTTTGGAAGGCTTGGAGGGATGCTTCAGGTGCCAAGATGAGGAACTTGTATAAAACTTACGTTGATTTATCCAACGAAGCCGCTCTTGCAAACAGTATGTAAAAATTATTTTTTTTGTTAAACTTGTTTATGAAAAATCTATAGCGTGACTTTACTATTGAAAGTAGAAATATACAGTATGATGAAAAAAAGGAGCCCCCGTTAACCCACACGTTATAAGTGATCTTTTATTAAAGACGAATTCGAAGACCAAAATTGGATTTGTGCTCTTATTAGTAAGATATATACTTTCCTTTTTAGAAAAGAGAAATCTATATAATTAACAGTTTTTTTTAAATAATTTCATTGTTAAAGTCTAGATTTTGATACAGTTGACGGTGTTCTTAAAAAAATGTGTAAAAAGCCCGTTGAAATAAACTTTATTGAAGATGTTAGGATACCATTTCTTGGCTCCAAAGAAAATTTATCAATGTTGCAACATTGCAAATATCCTAGGATACAGAAAATGTCCAAGTAATATTCAATTATTGGAAACGGTAGCAACAAAAAAATCAATTTTCAATGTTGTTTGTTCTGTGAAATTTGAACGATTAAAGTCAAAAAGTCAAAGATTAAAAAAATTAATTGAAATCAGATACCTTTTGGTCGTATCGTATTGGAATAATAAAATTATGTAAACTTTACAGTTTTTTTATTTTATGCGGGTGGCAATATTTGTCAGTACTAGTTTCCTAGATACGAAAAATACCTGAGTGAAATAGTTTTTTAGTAAAAGAAAATTGTGCAATATTGCCGCTTTGTGCTGTTAGACAAACTGTTTAAATTTTAAAAAGAATCTATTTAGACTATTTTTGGAATGATGGTCACAATGTTTCAATAAAAAAGGACGCGCCTGTTTCAATCGTGGGCGCCTTTTTTCATCACCCTGTATTTTTTTGTTTTATAATTACGTAGACTTAAATTAGTGTAAAATTTTCCAAAAATTCTTCACTCAATCAATTATGACTATGTATTTTATTTTTTAATGTTATTAAAACCTCTTATGTTGCCCTTAATATACGCTCTTTTATAAAGTACGTCGTCAATCACAACGTATTTTATAAGTAAGTACATAAAATACTCTTATCTTGGCATTTTGTCAATTTTTACAATATTTTGGCAAATTTCTTTAAAAAAAAATCGGAATTTAGTAACATTTTTTATTCAATATTAGTATCGTTGCAAAAAAAATTAAAGACAACGCAAGTTTTATAGTTTAAACTCTTGTTCTCTTAACAGCTATTATTTTAAATGCCTATTGTTTTGTATGCACTTAAACTTTGTAACTTTTTGTTGAGGTTTTTAATAATAATTAATGGTCAGTTAGTAAAAAAATATTTATTACAATGTTATAATGTGCGAACCTTATGAAGACTACATAGAATACAATACAACATAAAACAGAAGCAATAAAAAAAATTCTTGAGTGTCGTGTTTATTGTATATTTTTCAATAACCTAATATGTTACGATAATACAGGGTGTGCGTGGATAACTAGTAGATTCGTTATTCACTAATAGAACTCGTCAAGAGAAATAACATTTTTATTTGAAACTTTTAACAAAAACGTCCCATTTCTGAGTTAAAATAAAAAATATGTTAAAGGCCATGTTTAAATATTTACATTCATTATTTTATGTATCTATAAAATATAAGTAGGTACCTAAAAAAAGCTTTTAAATTAGAATATAAATTCTCTTTAATCGAATTGTGAATGAACTCTTTTATTTTTAGTGATTATAAAGAAATGCTTTGTTGACATAAATCATTTACAATTCACTTGTTTTCATTTTTACATATGATCAAATAAATGTGTCATCGAAGTTCACAAGAACAACATTCAAGTTTTACTCTTAATAACAATATACTATTACACCTAATTATAAAAATTCTTACTGAAAAATGTTCATTAGATATAAATCTACCTGGAATTTTAAACTTGTAAAAGCTTTTATAATTTTTGTAATAATTTTGTCCATAAACTGGTTATATTGTAAATACAGCCATTATTGTTTCACGGCTTCTATACTCGGTTCAATTTTAAACATTAATATGATTTTTTAATATTTTAAGAGAATCAATAGTAGAATAGTGAAGCAATATAAAATATACCTATAGGGTTATCTTTTAATGTTTGAAAATTTTACAACAAAAAGCTTTAGAGTTTATTTAAATTTGGCGTGATATGAGTATGTTGTGAACGGACCACAATTTTTAATACGCTCGGTGAGGAGTCAAATGTCAGATTAATAACTTTCAATACGATGGTTCGTTCACAATCAAACTTTCATAGATAGCTTTGACACTAAATTAAAAAAAAATCCTGTTATAAAATATGTAAATAAGTTATAAAAAAGTTTTTCTACTCTTTCGTTATTTATAGTGGCATCTACACTGTGATTCAAAAGAGTAGATTCAAAAGAGAGATGATAGAAAACGTTAATAGAAGTTCAGATTTGCTTTTATATTTTATTTTATCGGTTTTGAAAGTATGAATATTTAAAGATAGCACAAATTGACAACGCTGTATTACATTTTGAACCACCTTGTGCCTACACTTAATAATTTGAAACGTTTGTTACTATAGAAAACCACAGATTTTTGTTTTTTGCTATTGCCAACTTTACCTCTTCAGAAAATGTCTACATTTGACAGAGGTTTTATGTTTACATGTTAACAAAACACAAAATTACGTTCCCTAATTAATAAAAAAATAATAAACTTGAACTGAACATTTTTGTTTGCTAATTTGATCGTTCTAAAAACCACCCGAGTCACCACGCTGTGTAAAATAAATCAAAAAATTTCAATAATAAAGTCAGAGTCTTTTGCTTTAGCACTACGAATTAATTTATTACAAAGCATTCAAAAAAGTGCCTTCCACTTCGGAATGTACCTAGCTTTAGGTTTTGTTAAACAATTGTTTTGTCCATTTTTTTTTATTAATCTACAACTGTTTGTTTACCAAAATATTAAGAGTCAATAATGGAGTTTGGATTTGTTTGGAACTCATTACACGATTAATAATTTTTCTTTGTATTCTTTATATTTTATTTTGTGTTCAGATTTCAAGGACAAGGGAGAAGTATGGAGATACGGTTACGAGTCCGAAACATTCATTCAAGACATAGACGAGCTTTGGACTCAAGTTGAACCATTCTATGTGGAATTGCATAAATTTGTTGGCGCTAAACTGAAAGAACGTTTTGGTGAAAAATTAGACAATAGTGATGGTCTTCTCCCCGCTCATATATTCGGCAATATGTGGGCCCAAGAATGGAATAACATAGCCCAACTCGTTAAACCATTCCCAAATGCCAGTAAAATCGACGTAGATAAGGCCTTAGCTGAGCAAAAATACACAGTTTTGGACTTGTTTCAAACTTCTAATAACTTTTACAAATCTTTAGGACTAATACCTAACGATATTTGTTACAACACTAGTGCTGGAGCTATGATTGAAAAGCCAACCGATGGCAGAGAAGTCCTTTGCCATGCCAGTGCTTGGGATTTCTGTGATGGAAAGAACTACAGAATTAAAATGTGTACAGAAGTCAATTTTGAAGACTTTATCACTATCCACCACGAGATGGGACATATTCAATATTTCCTCCAGTATGCCAAACAGCCCATCACTTTCCGTGAAGGGGCCAACCCAGGGTTCCACGAAGCCATCGGTGATACCATCGCCTTGTCTGTATCAACACCCAAACATTTGGAAAAAATCAAACTTCTTAAAAACTATCGCGACAATTATGAATCTTCTATCAACACACTGATGGACATGGCGTTGCAAAAAATCGCGTTTTTGCCCTTTGGACTTCTCATTGATAAGTGGAGATGGGATGTTTTCAGTGGAGCGGTCAAACAAGACCAATGGAATTCCCACTGGTGGGAATACAGGAAAAGGTACCAAAAAATCAAACCACCGGTACCAAGGAGTGAAAACGATTTTGATCCCGGTGCCAAATACCACGTGGCAGGAAACTCCGAATACATAGCGTAAATAAGTCTCCTAAAACTAGCTAAAGTTTGATTAAATTTTTACAGTTATTTTGTTGCCCATATTCTTCAGTTTCAATTTTACAAAAGTTTGTGTATTGAAGCTGGTGAATATAATCCAAATAATAAAGATGTACCTTTACATAACTGCGATTTTTACGAATCTAAAGCAGCGGGGGACAAATTAAGGTTGGTGGGTGAAGGAGTTTCGAAATTTGGTTAATTTTTGTTTTAGGAAAGGCTTGTCGCTTGGTTCTAGCAAACACTGGAGTGATGTCTTAGAAGTGATGACCGGAAGTAAGAAATTGGATGCATCGGCTGTTTTGGAGTATTTCGAACCTTTGTATAAGTTTTTGAAAGAGAAAAATTCAAAATAGCAAAACTGTATTAATTTCAAGTCTCTTAAATAAAGTGTAGTAACAAACTCAATTTTTCTTTGGTAAATTGGTTGGTATTAAACATAAAACAGATATGCAGCTTTCTTAAAATCATTAATAAAATAATCATCTCTGTATTAGATTATCAAAAACATCAAAAGTTTTCTATTTACACCTTGATTATTCGTAAATTAAGATTAAGCGTAAATTATTCTAATAGTTCTTTCTAGATAAAACATTTTACTATTTTTAAAATGAGAGTTCTTAAATAAAAATAAGAGATTTGAGTAATCAATGCTATAATGCATGATAATACATGTTTTGTAGGTAATTACAAGTTTACGAGTTTGGGAAGCAATCAATCTCTCTGTTTTATCTAAATTGAAGAATATATTGTATGCAACTCGTGTAAAACTACTAAGTTGAATAAAAAATTGTTATTTCCTAAAGTATTCAACATTTAAATACGTTTTATAATTGAAAATTGTATGTGAAAAATAGTAAATAAAAAAAATACTATACTAATAATTCAAAGTTTCGTAGTATTTTACAGCCGATTAGTTGTAACCCCAGTACATACTATACTAAAAAAGGTTACAGATTGTCCCAAAAATAACTAAAAGAAACATTGCGTTTTGATGTAGTGATAATGCCAACTCAAAATCTTTGAAAAAATCTGAGTATTTTAGAATTTTCATTGAAAACCTTTTTTTAATCTATGAAAATCGGCTAAAAAGCAAAAGCAAATGTTTAAATAAAATTTAAATTTCTTATTAAAAATTGTGGAAAAACAAAAGTGATGATAATTTTAACTAAATTTGAGAGAATTTTCATCAGCTTTCCCTATAACTAAGTTTAACCGGTTTTGATACAGTCCGATCAAAAAGTCTGTCTATCAAGCAAGCGTAGAAATTTAAAACGTATGTCTGTGAAAGATAAAATGTCACAATGAGAAATGTCAAAATATTTTTTATATAAATTAGGAAACCGTAGTGAACGATTTTTATGAATAAACACCAACAAAATCTTATTTTTGTTTGTTTTAGACGTTTCATAGAATAATTCAATTTAATTAGCTCAATGTTTTAATTTTTATAAAATATTTTTGTGACATCTAGATAACATACGAACTGCCATGCAGCATACGTCCTCAACTAGGACGCCTACTTGATAGAAAGACTTTTTGATCGCACTGTATATTCAGACTTATTGATTTTTTTTGGATTCGATAATTAATAAATTAAATATGTATTTAGGAAAAGAACACAATTGTGAAAAAAAAAACTTGGCGGTTTTTCAGTAACAAATGTCAAACAATGCGAAAACTGCTATGTATAGTGAATGTTGATACAGAATTAAATTCTCCTTCATTTAGTGAAGAAAAAATTGGAGCCTTTCATTAAAAAAAAAAGATGTATTTAGAGTTTCCCAAACGTAACCCTAAATTTGGGGGCTTTGTTAATTATTTTTCCAATCATGAATACACCAATGGAAAAATCTAACTTTTGTCTTTCATATGCCTAAATACGGTTTCAAAATAATTAAAAATAGTATAGATATCGATTTTTAAATATGTAGGTGCATATCCAAGAAAATTCAAAAAAACATCAAAATATTTTGAAAATGATTAAACTTAAGTATAGGAAAAGCTGATAACAATTTTTTCAAAATCACTTAAGTAATCCAAAAACGTAACAAAAAACAATTATGTTTATAAACATAATTTTAGATAAATAATGATAATGTGAGGTTTAGCCGGAACAGCCTGTATTGAAGACTTCATCTCTTTCTTTTATAAAATTAATTTTATTTACTTATTAATAATTTTGTTTATTAATAAGGTGTAAAAACTGAACTTTAAATTGATGTTTATGACAATATGTCATAACTTTTTTTTAACTTATGCAATTGACATGTTTGTCTTAGTTTTTTATGTCCATTACAAAAACAATATTCAAAACAAAAAATCCAAATCAAATATATCAGATTTTTATTGGTGTTTGTGGTGCGTGTGGTGTACAAGCGGCTTATGTGTGTGATCCCTGAACTTGTTATACTTTGCCATTTCCAAATTGGTATCAGTTTTCGGAATTGTTACCCTTGAGTTGTAATTTTGAACCGGAGGATACATCAGTCTTTCACAATATTCATTATGCGTATCAATAAGTAACTGATTTTCGTCACTTAAACATCCTTTCTCTCTTTTTAAAGTGTAATGAACACCAAAAGCTTGCCCTAGTCTTTGCCAAAACAACTCCATTTCAGGTCTAACCCCCTCGATTTCTTCGGTATCATCTCTATCAATAATATCTGCAATTTCTGGAAGATTCGTTGTATTGAGAGGAAACGTCAAAATCTTCTCTTTCTGTGTTTCAAGTTTCCTACACACTGCAGCAAGACTAAGAATCATTTCTCCTTTCTTATTCAAATGTTCCAAACAGTCAAAAGCTTTAGCAGCATTTTCACTCAAAAGCGCAAGTTTGTCAAAGTCGTCTTTTTTGTCACTTTCCAATTTGGTTTTAAGCGTGAGAAAACTATTAGAAAAATAATTTCTCTCAGCTTGTAAGTCTGACAATCTACTACCATCAATCTGCTTCATATCAGTGTACTTTTGTCTAAGTTGCCGAATCCTGTCGTAACATTTCTTCATATTTTTGAACTGTTGAGCAATCAGTTCTTGGATCGAGTCATCTTGATCCTTCAGCAAGTTGTGCTCTTTTTTCCGATCTCTGACTTGCTTGTTGTAGTTTTTGATAAAGTGTTTCATGTCTTCGAACATATTCTGGTATTTGCGCTCAAGAGTGGCTCTTAATTTCTGCAAAAGTAGCTGATCTTTGACTTCGACTTCATCAAGTCTTGAAAAATATTCCCCTTTTTTCAGTCGGTTGTGCTCTCTGCGTTCCAATTCGATTTGGTGAAGCATCGTTTTCAAATACTCAAAATTCTCGTTGTACAATTCTTTAGCGTCTTGAAACTCATTGTCGCAGCGTTCTTGCATCGACTTGCACTAAAAATCACTCAAAAGAATGAACTCAAAGTTTTCAACTCACTTCCGATTCAAAATCGGCTTGAAGCTCCTCCAACCTATCGTGAAACAACCACATCAGTTTTTCCATATTTTCCGAATGGGCGCGAAAATTGAGCATGTATTGCTCCTCCGAGTCCCTCAATTCGTCCATGAGCAAAGAAATGGTAAAATCCTTACAATCTACGACTCGCTCAAAATTATGCCACGCAAACTCCAGTTCTTGTCGCATTCGAGGCAGGGCCACTTTAATGAGCATTTCCCTCCAATTTTTCTCATATTTCTTAATGGTGAGTTCGCCATATTTTACTTCTCGCTCAAGATGGTCTCTCTTAATCTGCTTCTTCTTCTCAGCCAAGCGCAGCTTTTTTTCAATTTTCTTCTGTTTTTTTAACTCCCTCTTCTCTTCGGGAGTTAAATGACGGTGCTTTTTTGGCGGCATTTTGTCAAAAAATCACAACCTGCTATCTGTGTCACGCCAAATCGAAGGTCGAATTTGCATTAAATCAAATCTTGGTGGGTGTAGCAGATTAATTTGCAAGTAATTATAATTTCAGTTGTTCAAGCAGAACGATTTTGTTAGCAATGTGGGTCAAACACCTCCATAACCTTCGTGTTAAGTAATAACAGTATTGAACTAACTTCTTGTGCATTTTATGTGTGTCTCCAAGTAATGGCAATGAAGGCCAGCTTATTTTACTATTTAGAGTAAATTAAAATGTCTAGGTCTCTGGGAATTGTCTTCATGTTTTAATTTGTCCATTTCCGTTAAACCAAGTGCAAAACATATGGAAATTTGGAGCTGTCCTGTTTGCTAGATAATAGTTTCCTCTCATTACCATTAAAACTCTGGAGAAATAAGTTTAAACATCATTGGAAGAGAGCTAATCTACGGGACCATGAAACTTAATTAAATATCTTCATCTTTGTATTCTGCACAGGCTGTTATCACTGTTGCAAATATAACACATACACGTTAATTCCACTTCAGTACACACAAAGTTATTGCTGCGAGCAACCAAATGGATTAAAGATTAGGTAGTGACACTGGTGAAATTTGAAAGTTTGAAAAAACGCGCAAAATGACCTACGAGGTAAGACATTTTTTGGATAACAAACAGAAAATAATTAACATAACAATTCTACTCAAATAAACATTAATATAAAAACTAAAAATTTATAAAAAGCCCAATAGCTTCTGTTTTATGAAGACGCAAAAAACATTAGAAGTAGTGATAAAATAATCAAAAAAAATAAGTTGAGTTAATGAGCAAAATTTTACTTTTCTATTGTTAATTATAAAGATGCTAGAATAATTTGTGCCAAAACATTATGTACTCAAAAACTATCAAACTTGGCAACGCCGCAACCGAAATTTAAAAACAAAAGATAGTTTTGTGGCATTTGGAAAAATACAGGTTGTCATTAAAAAAAGGTTAATACTGTCCTGGATGACAACGAAAAAATACTATTCAACTTTTAACAATAGGTAAGTCCTGCGATAGTGACTGAATAGTTGGACCGAGTTTATGGAACATCCTGTAGATGCAACATATAAATTATTATCATTATTTTTTATCTAATAATTTGAATTTAATTTGAAAAAATGGTTGAAGAAGCATTTTCGAATTCGAAGGTTTTTGTCAAAAAGTAGTCCCAACTTGGAAAAATTTAATATAAACAGTTGTTGTTTTTGCTTATTTGTGTCATTCTTTTTTAAACAAAAATTTTGCAACTCATACAACCTTGAATAAAAATTCTCAACTTATCAATGTCAGTATTGAAAAAATTTTTATCTGTTGTAACAAAATTGTAGAAAATGTAAACCCAAATAGAATAAATTTTGCAATTATGTTTATCTACATAAACGTATGTAAATTTTCTTTGTACGACAATTTGTACTACAAACAATGTGTAATCAGAAACAGTTATTAGTAATATTTTTTAATTGTTAATGGAAAACCAGAATCACCGTTCTCAATTTTTTTCTATTTTTATGACATTAGTACCGCAACTACAAAGAATCCGTCTGAGTAACAACCTACTTTCTTCGTGAACGTAATTCTCGAAAAATTTTCTTTCATTTAAGATTTCCATGAAGTGTGATAAGTCCGTTTTCACATGAAACTTTTTATAAAATTTGGGGCATAAATTGTCTCAGTAAATTCAGGGGACGATTTACGCTGTTTAATTTGATAACTACTCAAAGAGGATTTGGGAGTGCTTTCTATTTACTACAAGTATGTTAATTGGGAAATCACACAGACCGAACTAAAATCACGATCATTTCTTTAAAAAAATCAAATTAGATTTTTACTTCTAGCTTCTAAGTAAAGGGATGTGTCTCAAATTACGATTTGACATACTTAAGTTTTTGTTTAAACAAAAAAAAATGTATTTTTTCACACAACAACGTGTTTAAAAAAAACATTTTTACAGTTAAATTTTAATGTGAGTACTTTGGTTTTAAATCTGTTTTGATCTTCTGAACACAGTTTCAGTTGATACAAAATTTTTAACGTATGGCTGTGAGACCTTAAAAATCATATTTGGAGAAAAAAAAAATCAATTAACTGAAATATTTTCAACATAATAAAATTCTTTGATTTTTTTTGTGGTATTTGTGAAAATAGGATAATGATAGGTAGAGTTGATAGGTATTGAATAATTAACATTCTAATTTTGAAAATCTGAAACTCAAAAACTATCAACTTTTACATTATTCAATTTTTGCACTTACCATTAACAAAAAATCAAGAAATTTTATAATGTAAAAAAGATCCAATTAATTAATTTTTTTTTTTCAAATTTGGTTTTTGGGGTCTCACCAGGGCCGTACCCAAGGGGGGGTTTAGGGGGTACAAACCCCCCCCCCCCGAAATGCTGAGCACTTTGTTATATAGTGTTATAAGTGTTAAAAATTTAGTTTTTTTGTTATTTTAATGAGTTAATTTTAAATTTTTGTGAATTAATTTTTCATGTGTTAATTATACAGTGTTTCATTTTTATTGTTAGGTACAAATTTAAATAGTTAATAGAATATTTAATTTTAAGATAAAAGTGTTTTGAAAAATGCTATGAAAAGGAGCTACACCCCCTAAAAAAGGTACGTTATTTAAAGGGTTTTTCCTAATATTTCAGAATAGATAAAATTACAAAATTTGGTACCTTTATATGTACACCTAAACAAATGCCAAATAACAAAATTTTTAATCAGGGGCGTCCTAAACGGTAAAACAAATTTAATTTTTAATTTTTATGCTGTTTATGGTCTGTAACAAATTTTTAAACCGATTTTTACTAAAAATCCATAAATTGTATCGGAAAAACACAAAAGACTTTTTTTATGAAAAACTATGAAATTTTGTTGATGAAAGTGGCAAGAAACCACAGGCAAAATAGTTAGAGTAAATTTTTACCCTAATCCCATCTAGTTTAGGAAGCACCTCATTAAAAATTTCAACATTTTATTTTTGTACTTGTTTAGGTGTATAAAAGTTATCATCTGTAGCAAATTTTGAATTTTTTTTCTAAAATGATTTCGGAAATATTGAAAAAAAA